CTCCGCGGCCGCTGCTGCCGCCGCTCTGAGCTCAGGCGCGCGGCGGGAGGAGGAGAAGGCGGCGGGCGCGGCGGCCCCGCCCCACTCGCTCCCCCGGGCGGCCCTAGCCCAGCCCCGCACCCGTTCTGTGCCGGGCGCCCAGGTGCGGGCGCCGCCTGGGAGCAGCGAGGACACGCGGCAGCGGACTCCTGGGCGACCGCACCCTCCCCTCCTGTCCTTCGGGCTCCTTCGTCTCGCGGCGAGGAGGGTGCCAACAGCTACCTTGCTGGGAGCTTTTCCCTTCGCGCAGGGCTCTGTGCTGCGTGCGCTGCAATAAATCCTCGCTTGCAAAAGAGGAGACGGGGGCTCACTGAGGTCCAGCCGCTGCGGGTCACACATCTGGTGTGCGTGGGAGCAGCGCTGGCCGGACTCGGCTCCCAAACGAAGCTGCGGTGGGAGGTAGCGTTGGGTGGGGGTGCTTGATGTTGACTCGTTTATACTCTGGCCACCAGCTTGTCACCTGCCACCTCTAACCTCCCAAAGGAGCTGCCCTTCTGGGATTCCAGGGAGTGGCAGAAACCCCTCCTCCGAATCCTTGGGGTACACAGACATCAGAGGTCTAGGAGAAGACCCTGTTCCCTCCTTGTCCTCTGCGTGAGAATGACAGGTAGGAAGAACCCTGGTGGCCAGGACGACCAGACAGGGAAGGGACCAGCAGGCAGAGGGGTGGGCAGGAAGGGAGGGTGTGTGGGGGAAGACAAGACTGTCTTTATGTATTTTGTTGAAAATTATCTTAATTAAAAGCTTTAGAAAATATCTTACTGCACAGTGCTGCTCCGGTTCCACTTCCCCACAGGACTGTCCCTTGGCAGCGTGGATTCCCAGGGCTCGAAGGGCTAAGGGAGGGCTGTGGGTGACCTGCTGTGGCCTGTGCTTGTGAGACTTGCTACCTGAGGCCCCTTTTTCTGCTCCTGCATTCTTGATTTGAAGGGGAAGCTCCAGCCCGAGTCTGTGGCCCACCACAGCCACCCCACCCTACCATGGTGGTCTTGAGTGCTCTTTGCAGAGTGCTGCTGGTGATCATGGGTCACCAGAACATTTCTGAGGAGGCAACAGTCCTGGGGAGGCCCTGTCTAGCCATGAGACACTGTCCAGTGAGCCCCAAGAATGTGCTACAAGCCCATGGGGACACTGTCTGCTGTTGCAAGGAGCCAGAAATTGTTGGTCATTCAGTTTTGAGCCATGACAAAGGAGCACAGCAAGCATGAGCTCTGTGTACGATGAGCCCCGTGCAGGTGGGTCTGAGTTAGGACTCGCTGAGGCAGTGACCTGCAAACCCAACTCGGGCTGCACTGTTTGGAGGTAGTGTCTTGGGGACAAAGATATGGTCCCTTATGTCCTGGATTAAGCTCTGGGGCCCCTGGTACAACTCATGTGTCCTGTGAAGACAGAAACACACAGGGAGCACCCCCAGGAGAAGCTGGCCACCTGCCTGTCACTTGGAGAGGCTGGGAAAGGGAGTTCTGCCAGGAACAGAAGAACCACTACCACTTGGGCATCGATGGTGCTGGCTTTACGTGGGCTGCCCAGTGACTGTCTGGGGACAGATGGATAAAGGAATCCAGAGACTGGAGTCGCATCTGATGCCAACTGGTCTGCTTATCCCCTGGCATGATTTTAAAACCTGTGATACAAACATGTCAGTCCCCTGTCGATGAGTGACTTGTGGCCCCATCCCTAGTTCAGGATGTTTTTTGTGTATAATGAACATCTTTGGAAGGCAGACAGTGACTCCCTCTGGGCCAGAGAGCAGATTTGTTTTGTGATCAGAATAATAAAGTGTACATCCCTGGAGCATAAGCAGGGCAGATCGGCTTGCAGGGAAGATCTGGGCTGCAGGTCCTGGGCTACCGTGCAACCTGCTGTGTGCCATGGCCGACAAGGGCGCCTGAGCTGCCCCCAGGGTTTGGGAAACTCCTGCCGGTCACACTGCCTGTGTCCTTAGTCTCTGACCCAGGCCTTCTGAGTTTCCTGCCAGCATCTGTGAAGTCGTGAAAGGCTCCCTTGTGAATTCTCAAGTAGGGCAGATCTTGGGCATTTTAGTGGTCCTGACACCATCTCTGTGCCTCAGTTTCCCAATCTATAGAGTGAGGAATAAGAGGAAGAAGTGGAAAGCAGAAATAAACACCAGGTCTTCCATCAGTTTCTCTGGGCTTGATATGAACACTGTTCATTCTTCTAGGCTCAGCTCCTGTCCCTCACCTCCTGCAGTGACCCCAAATGGTACAAATGTGCTCAAGACTCCAGCGTGGGTCCCCTGACTGCAGTACCATCCCCCCTTCTCCCCGATTCCACTCTAACTCCAGTACTAAGCTCCAGGTAGGATTGTGGAGAAAACTCTGGGGACTCATCACCCCAGGCTGTGCTGCAGATAGTTGCGTTCTTCTCTCCTGAGCTCCGAGATGTACCCCATTTAATCCTGACTTAGAATTCATCAGTGTCCATAGAAGTCTTCTCGGGGGACATTTCACAGACAGCCCCACATTTTCCATCTCAAGTCTCTTCACCTGGGTTTTTCTGTTTTTTGTTTGTTTCTTCACTTTCATTCCATTTGCAGGCTAAGGAAATTTTGGTGTAAATAACAAAAATAGCCATTCATTTAAAAATGGGTTTAGACCATCTTTGTGGCAGGCATCGTGCCAGGCACTGAAGTGGGGGCAAGAGGAGCTCAGAGTTTATACTCTAATGGGGAGGCAGGCGGTAATCAAATGAATAATTAAACAAGTCAATTTACAAGTGTGACGAGAACCACAAAGCACAATTTTAAAGTAATACGAAGGAAAGTTTTAGGACACTATACATACAAGGCTTGGGGAGATTTACGAGTTTGTTTGAAAGGGCCTGCATTTGAGCTAGGGCCCAAATGACCTGTGGAACCAGCCACACAGAAACTAGGGAGATAGATTGTTCTAAGCAAAAAGAACAGATGGTGGAAAGGCCCTCATGAACATGATGAGCTTGGAATGTTCCAGAAGCAAAAGGAAGGCAGTGAGGCTAAAGTAGAGTGGTGGCTCATTGCCTATAATCCCAGCCCTGTGGGAGGCTGAAGCAGGATGATCACAAGTTTGATCACAGCCTGGGCAACTTGGTGACTTACTGAGGAACTATCCCCACTCCTGACAAAAAGGCTGGGCTATAGGTCAGTGCTGATGCCCTGGATTCCATCCCTTCTACCAAGAAGGAAAAAAAAAAAAGTCAAAAGACAAAAGAGAAGACCTCAGAGCATCACGGAAATTAGCTGAGATTTGTCGGTTGTAGGGGGCTCCTGGGCCAAGCCATTCAGGGCGGAAGCCACCCAGAAGAGCATGACTTTAGCTCAGAAGTTGGGATGTAGCATAAAACTAGAGGGGAGCTGCTCACAGTGGCCCCCACATTATCAAGATCCTTTTCTCCATCCTGGGTCGGGAGTGGCAGCCCGAGGGCCTCTCAGCAGGTGCATGAAGGTGGGGAGTGGGATGCACGATGGCTCCATCGTGTCATTGCTGCTGGCTGCAGGGTGGGCGAGAGGAACCTGCTGTCCACACCTCTACTGCCCTCTGATGTGCCCTTAATCACTGTCCCTGCTCGTAACCAGGGAAGAAGGCTCGTTCACTCCCCAGAGCTTCATAAAGCCCTGGTGCAGCGCAGCTTCTCGATGAATATCTATTGAGCTGAGATTAATTTTTTTTGTATCAGAAATCAAACTCCAGGCCTTGTGCTTGCCAGGCAGGCACTGTGCCTCTGAGCTACATCTGGACCCTTAAGTTTTAAAAAAAAACAGGTGGAGGAGAAGTGGAATTAGGCAAAGCAATATAACCCAGTGGTTTCTGAAAAATGGGACATTGGCTGTTCATGAGAGAAATGGCAGCCTCTGCTACAAGCTCACCAGCTGGGCCAGGGTAGAACCAGTGGGGCAGGGTGCCAATTCATGCCCTCTGGCCTGGGATTCTCCCAGTTTGGGGCACAGTCCTGCATCCCCAAACTTCTCAGTCCTTGGCAAACTGTGACCGTGGGTCACTCTCCTGATGCCCTAAAGCCTGTCCCTCTGCAGCAGCCCTTGGTGCTGGTATGGAACAGATGATGGCCACATGTGCCTTTCTGTCCCCTTGGTCCCTGGAGCTGTTTCCGCTTTGGCACCTCCCATCTCCTCTCCCCTGCAGCCTGGCAGCCCCTGGTGGTGAGGGGGGAAGGGACAGCAACCCTCTCTTTTCTGTCTGCAGACCTGGTTCTTTTGGGGGCTCAGACACCCAGTGAATGAAGGGTCATTGGGAGCAGGTGGACTTCTCTTCCCCAGAAGGTGGGGAAGTGGCAGCTGCAGAGGGCCATCTGTGTCTGTCCTGGGCATCTCTGGCCTCTCAGTCATGGTTCAGCCTCAACTGGGTCTGGTGTGCAGCCCACAGCTGCCTCAGTCTCCTCATCCATAAGAGGGAGGCACAGGTGCCTGCCTGGAGCGATTCGAGGTGAGAGGTTGTATGTAGACCCCCTGGGGGTGCCAGCATGGGGCCACTTTCTCTGCTACTTATATTCCTGGGTCCTACTAGCCCAGAGCCTAGCACTTTGTGGGTGCTCAATACATCCTACCC